ATGGAGCTGTGCCTATCTATTTGCCATAGATAGTAATGATAGAAGCTGTAGTCCAAAATATGTCCAGAGTAGCAAGTTGAGGAAGGCTGCTGAATTTATACTGGTCCAATAACACATGTTGTACCTTCTTCTGCTTATCTCTTTACTTCTCTCATACATGATACTAGAAACCTTCTAAGATTTCCTCCGCCCCCCAAAACCAGAAAATTATATATTAATGTTTGGCTACAACAGTGGTAGATGTTGACTTCTATGTTAATAGGATAATGAATCCACTCCAACTTTAAATAAGTTATCCATGGTACTAAACCTTATCCATAAATTAGGTTCAGCACCTTGGATAGCTCTTGTAAAGTTCAGTCTAAAATTTGGAATAGCTTCACTATCCCAATGACATAGGAGTCACCAGCTGCCACTGAGCTACATATCAAACCATAATATTATGCCTGATAGAAACCAGGTATTTTACCCACAGTTTTAGTGTAATGGGATGGTAGCACAAACGACATCTATTTGGATATTTATTTCAAAGTTTTATTAAACAAGCCAAGAACATCACTATATAGTTCAGCCTTATGGTATATGTTCAGTTTATATCTCCTCTTGATGTTGATATATGTCCATGTGAACATCCACAGAGCGGGGTCATAGCTGTATATACAACTTACACCACAGAAGACACCTCACTTCAGAGATATTTAATAATTAGCATGTATATTGAAGGATGCAGTTGAGTTATATAGGAAATCTAGGAGTAGAGTTGTGCTAGTATACGCAAGATTTAGAAAAAAGGGGAAGAGGAGGAAACAACTTCTAGGTTTTGGTCAATTTGGAGGTGTTACATTTCAACCAACCTCCTATGTAACTGAGTTATGTCCTCTGAGTACCACTGTCCACATCCTCTTATCTAGAATTTTCATTACTTAAAACTAAATCACCATAAAATATTTCTAAGGAGATGCACATTTGTTTGTATATTTGATCACATAAAGCAAACACATGTTTAAGTTGTGGTTTGTTGAGTTACTCATTACGAGACTTCAATGGCAGTTAAAATAGTGGGAAATTTCATTTATTCTACAGTGTAGATACATCCTAAGTATCCATCAATGCAGTGAGTCTACTCTGAAGTAACAGGTGGAATTGGGCTTTACATTTATGTGCATTATCATGAAGAAAACCATAATCACAGGACTATTTTGACTGCTTCATACTGTCATGGCAAATTGTAGTGAAACTGACCTTTTTGGCAGGAAGGCCGAAGCCTGGAAAGTCAGTAGCTGACATGTTCTGGGTTAGGCAAGAGAGCCAGAGGCAGGAGGGAGGAGTCAGCCGACTCCTGATTGGTTAGGACAGTCAGGGGTGGAGTTAGGATTGAGAGGGAAAAAAGGCTGGCTTATTTGACAAGTAAGGGAGTTGGAGTTTAGACATCGTGGAGTAAAGATGTATATTTTAGGAAGGGAGAGCTGTGGAGATCTTAGGCAGGGAGGGAAGACTTTTGTGTGAGCCTTGAGAATTAGAGCAAGGGATAGGCAAAGGATCCTGGTTCACTGGTCAGAGTAGGGACAGTGAAAGGGAAGCCTGATTTGCTCTAGGAGGCAGTTTGTGTACTGTGCTCAAAGACACACTGTGTCAGTTAGTGATCAGTGTGGGGACAAGGAACTCACTGTGAAACAAAAGTTGAAGCCTTTTAAGTAAGACTGCCTATTTAAAACCAGCTAAGCCTCAAGAAACTGAACTGCATCAAGATTATTGTACCACTCTTTTTAAGAGTTGATTTGTTTATCAAGTTCTAAAATAAACCTGTTTCTTATTTCACCTTCAAATTAGAGTCTGCCTCAGTCTATTACAACTTTTACATCTCAGCTAACTTAAAGAAGATTTCTTTCAGTCCAGTCAGCAAAAGTAGCAGTGGTTAAAGAAGAACAAAGAGCTTAAATATAACTCTTCCTATTTTCACATTCACACATATGGTTTTCCTCAAACCTATTTAATTGAGGTGGTGGCAGTGATTTAACAAATACATCAGTCTACAATTACATCACAGTTGGTCACTTAAAAGATATAGTACTAAGGTGGGATAAGAGAGTCTTTCCCCCTTGTTATAGTTAACTGTCTTTATTTGATTAGTGTCCAGCTGAACGATAACCCTGTAAGCTGAAGGGCAGTGGGTGTGATTGCTTGGCCCCCCTGTCCAAGTGAATGTTTATACTTTACACATATGATATGGAGCCCTAACATAAGAATTTTTCCATATCATGATGTATGAATTGTCCAACTTATTGTCCATCTTGTGTGAGGTGGCATAGAGCAAACATGCTTCTCCCATTATTATCCTTGGAACAACTCAGCAAAATATTTTAAAGAAAAGTGGGAAAGACTAGAAGTTAGCCATAAGTCAGCAGAGATATAAACCTTTGCCTAGTTCAGGACAAATACAGCGCCTGCAACATGACGTACTGGTTCCATGATATTAAGAAATTAAGCTCACATGCAAAACGTAGCCACTTTCAGTGATCCCAAACCAGACATATACTGCTCAGGATCACATAATATTCATCAGAAGAAGGGGTACAGAGTGGCACTTCACCCCAAAGTGCTACAGTCTTTTTTTATTTTGAGAATTAATTTTGAAAGTTTCATATGCTCCCCTTTTCTGTGAATCAGATCTGAACATGACTTCTGGACCACTTTTCTGAGATGTGTTTTTTACAAAAGTATTCTCAAAACATTGTTGGCTAAATGAACTTAGATTAGCCTGATTACAAAAAAAACCCACCCTTATTTGACTTCCCAATTTAAATCAGAACACAGTATTCAATTCAGTGTGTTGTTTTTGTTTAAAATAGGAGATCTGTTGGTGTGATTAAAGATGAAAGGCAGCTCATCGTTAATTGTGCATAATAGTTTGTAGGCTTGAAACTGCCAAATGAGGGGGTGGCGGTGAGAGAAAAGAGGGGAAGAAAGGAAGGAAGAAAGAAATAAAGTTATTTCATCTTCAATACATGGAAGTAATTGCATTTTTCAATTAGTGTGGGAAAGTATGTACAGTGGGACATTTGAAGGCCTGTGGCAAGGTTTTAGAAAACAAATGAATCAGTTATTGGATATGAAATTGATTTTAATTAGATTTTTCCGTTTAAGTTAATGCAAGTGTCTATTCCATTTTAAATCACATTGCTTTGCAAGAGGATCTGAGGCCCTCTGGATGTTGTTGAACATCATCCCATACCAGCCCCAGCCAGCATGGCCAGTGCTGGGGATTATGGGAGTTGTACTTCAAAAACCTTTAACAAAAATAGATCTTCCAATGGTGCCCCACATTGTGTGGGTGTAAAGATTAATTCCATTTACCCATTATGTTTTCTTGAATTATCAAGTGGCATTGACTTTGCATCAGGTAAGAACCTGCATTATTTATTTCATTTTTGCTCCCCTTTTGCGGGGGGAGGAATTGGACTCCATTATACAAACATAGTTGTGCTCATTGCTTGTCTTGCCATCTCTCAGAATCCCCTTTGCTTTGAAAATCATGAATGATTGTATGATTTGAGCTAAAAGCACACATTATAATAATGCTAGCATTGCATTTTGTCTGAAGTCAAGTCCCCATGTTACGAACAAGACAGATTTGGGAAGTTTGTTCTTAAGTTGAATTTGTATGTAAGTCAAAACAGGTTCATTTTTCAAGTGTAAGTCCAGCCATATAAGCTTTGGATAGCACAGGGAAGGGTTAACATCCCTGTGATGTTTGTTTTGCTGTATGTCTCCCTACTTAGACGATTTCACCTCACTTTGTGTCCCTGTGACAATTCGATGTGGCTTGTTTTGGAAACAATGATTGGTTATAAAACTTTAGCTGAGGCACCTTTTCTCCTTGATAACTCTTCTAGGAGTGAATTTCCCTTCCAAGTGGTAGTTTACTTTCACTAAGTACCTCCTGATACCTTTGATGGCAGCTCTCAGAGACACTCCAGTTCACCGCAGGGTGTTGGGAAGCTGCTGGCACATGCCCCGCATCACTGGTCTCCTCTGGCAGCTCTTCACACAAGGGGAAGTGTGGTGCATGCATGGAGCGCACAGCTTCCCCCATTGAAAGAATGGCAACCCATATTGCAGGGTGACAGCAGTATGCCAGTTCCACCCTCCTTCACCTACAGAGCTGGCATGACGTCATGTGATCAGAGCCAGCCAGCTCCGTGTATGACTTGGGCTAGATTGGCATGTGCTGCTAAATCTAGCTCTGTATGTCATTAGTATTGTCTCACCCCTGTTCTTAACTATGAGTCATTTGTAAGTTGGTTGTTTGTAACTCAAGGATCGACTGTGCTTTTTTAATCATTTATAAATATTTATTATTAGGCTGAGAGTCAATTAGGCTGACCACTTCAAGCATCTCAGTTTGGATGTCCTGAGGAAACAGTGAACTGCTAGTTGTCCAATATACTGTATTATGATCGTATTTTTCCTTCCAGGAAAGGGGGTTCATGTGGGTTTTTTTGTGTGAAGGACATAATTTGATAAACAGAAAGGCAAACAATGATTTTGAGATAGACATGGGTGATCTCAAAGGAGTTTTGGCAAACTCTGGAGGTAAATGAAATAAACAACGACAAAACACTATAAATTGGGGATAGGTTTAGGATCTGTCGATTGTTTACTTAAATATTGAAGATTTGGGAATTTGTGGCTTCAGTATTAGCTAGAGCCTTTACCACTGAGAATTTCATCCATTTGAATTTCTAACATGTGCCTCATTCTGTGAAATACTACTACTGGAGGAGGAGTGCTTTTGCTTTTTAATTTTATAATTACAATGAATTGTCTGGGAAGAAGTAGTCATTAAATGACATGCTATGATCACTTGTTTTCCTGGGCAGCTGCTTCCCTGGAGAAAGAGAATTGGATTTCCATATGGATATTCCTATAAGTGATTTCTCCTTTCATTCTGCTAACTCTTGTTCACTACCTGGTTCTGCATTTTCTGTTTCTTTTGACAGTTGCATTTTCAGGCCTTGGCTTTACCACCTTCTACTTGGCGGGGAAGTTGCACTGCTTCACTGAAAAAGGTCGTGGGAAAAGCTGGCGGCTGTGTGCAGCAATTCTACCTCTCTATTGTGCCATGATGATTGCTCTATCACGCATGTGCGATTACAAGCATCACTGGCAAGGTGAGCATGGCAGTCTCTTCCTTACTTTAATTGTTGTTGCTAATTCTTTTTGTTAGGTTTGTTATGCAATTGAATAAGTCAAGAGAATGCATGCTTGGAAGATCAGAGGGCTATTTTTGGTGCATGGTGTTCTGATTGCTTCTAGTTAGTTGGATGCAAGTTTTGGTTGTTTGTGGTTGGGCTCCCCAAATCACTTTTATGCAGCAGAACAGCAATCCCACTTTTTCCTGGGTGTTAATGGATTGAGGAGGTTGATGAGAATTTCAGGTCCATATAGACCTCCTTGTAGTCTGCATCCCAAAAGCCAAATGGTCTTCCCCCCCGCTCCCCAAGTAGCCAAAAGTAAGTAAATTATGGTTCTTTGTGGTCTGAATTCTAATCCCCTAAAGAGTAGAGACACACAAACAGTTGTTGAACATTGAGTCAATTGATTCACTGCATCTGCAACAGTTGGAACTAACAATAGGATTCAGGGCATTGTATCCCAACAATTTCTAATATGTCTCCAATGTGTTAAAGAATTCAGAGGTAATTTCTTTTGTCCTAACTCTGTCTTGGAATTACAAGCATGCGATATAAGTCTATGAACATCCACTGAAAAGTAACCCACATCAAGTTCAATGATACTTATTTCCCAACAGGGTGACTGCTTGTATCACCAATCCTCCCATACTGATTTCAATATAAATGGTAGTAGAAACAAACTAAGGATCTCATCATATAGGTTCCTAGAATCTGCATGGATCATGGCAAATCCAGTGGTGCCCGTGGGGGGGGGGACCCATCGTCCCATGCCCCACACCACCCAACTTACTGGAAACCCCATCCCACGTGAGGAAGTGTCCGCTAACTGGCTTCCCCCCATTGTTGCCAATGCAACACGGAAAACTTCCCATGTTGAAGTCATGGTAGCATATGCCAGATCAGCTGTAGTTTAGCCATAGAGCCTGCCAGAGGTAGATGTACATCTTGCGATGGGAGTCAATAGGCTCCATGGCTAAACTACAGCTGACTCGGCATATGCTTATGTCATAAGGCCAGTCTACACAAACACATTTTGCCATCTAGAACAGGCTTTTAAAATGCTAGTTTTGCCTCGCATCATGGACTTACAGGGCACTTTAGGCCACCCTTGTAGTGCGAAGATATCCCTCCTGCCTAGTTGTACAGATGCTGGTTTGGCACTGTTGGTAGGGGCCCAACTGCCACCACCCTACTGTCCCTGTTGCTGCCAACTACAGGGGGGATGCACCTACCATTGGCTGCCTCTCTTCATGGTTCCATGTCACATGACTGGCAAAGGAGAGCCCAGGCTGCGTGGCATGGAGCCAGGAAGGAAGACTGCTCAGCAGCACCCCTGTCACTGCTGTCACTGGCAGTGAAAGGGACAGTTGAGAGTCAACAGCCATTCCTCATCCCTGAGCATTATCAAGTTCATCTCATGCTGTGATATGACCTTTTTTCATGTGATATGCAATAGATTCCAAAATTTCCATGTTAAATTTTATGTGAAAAAAGCATATGTCCATGCGTTAAAGAGGAAAGGGAACTAATCTGAACTTTGGTGTATCGGCAACTTTTGAAGTGTCCTCTCCCCAAAGCTAGAATTACTACTCATGGAATGAAATGTGTGCTGCGAGGCAGATAATTGCAGTAATATTCACTGTGTGGTCGAAATAGACTGTACCCAAAGAGATTACTTCTGTGTCCATTACAGCTGCATATGCTTGTCTTTGAAGTTTAAGGAGGTAGAACTGGAAAAAGGCATTTTTTCTTAACAGAAAGAACATTTGGACTGCAATAACACCATGTTTTAAGTGACCCTAACACATCTGAAACAACCACAACCTGAATGAGGATACTAAATCGTTCAATAAAATATTGCTACACGCTCAGCCATTGTCTTTTATGCTGAGGCGACAGGCAATTGTGTTGAATTACCTTTGAGGTGGCTTTACGATAAGAGCCTAAACTTCCCAATGGAGAACAAGCAAGAGCCATCAGCTATGTTTTTGTGGGGCATAGGTATTGCAAGTTGAGAAAAAAGGGCAGCACTGAAAAGTCATAGATAAGTGTGATAGAATTAATATTGTGTGTGAGCTTCTTTCCGCTCTAATGGGAAAATGCAATATTCTTATGCTTTTGGACATGGCTATTGGTGAACAAGCACAAATGAACTTCCATCATTATGAATTTCAAGCATGAAAGTAATTATTTTTAACACGTTGAGGGCTTTTTTGTTTCTGAAATGAGTGCAATTTATTTTTCTACTAAGGTACCCAGAAATAATTGCATTGGATAAAAGGGCCACTGAGAGTCAGCTTTGAAATCAGGACAGCAACCTTTCTTTTGCACTGTTTTCATTTGCTGGAAAAAGACAGAAATACCCCAAAGAACATACTTCTTTGCTTTGATCCCAAGGAATTCAAATGCCCTTTCATGGTTGGAAGTAACCAAACAAGCATTAGATAAACACAATTTGTGTCGAACCTTCTTTACATTTCAGGTTGTTATTACTATTAGTAGAAAGTGCCAATGGGTCTATTTTATTTGCTTTTCCTTGAGATTCCTAAGAATTTAATGAACCTGCAGCTTCTAAAACTTTCCCCAGATTCTTTGACTTCAGCATGGCTCTAGTGTCATTTCCATTATGGTCACCCTTAGACCTTTTAGCATCATAATAGCTGTTAAGAGACTTGGAACAGCCAGGAGAATTCCCTGGCATTGAAAGCAATTCTCACCTCTCACTAACTGAAAATCCACCAGAGACTAAAATCTTGAGAATGTGAAGATGTTTTTTTTTTCTTGATGCATTAACAGAAATCAGAATCTCTCTCAGGAGAGACTTCCAGAGTTAGTGCGCTATAACTGAAAAGGCTGCTTGATGTTTGAGAAGATGATTCTTCGAATATCTCATTTAGATTCAGGAAATAGCCACCTATTTGTCTTTGGTGGAGTAGCCCTGGTAATCTCATCAGGAGAGACTTCCAGAGTTGGAGTGCTATAACTGAAAAGGCTGCTTGATGATTGGTGAGAAGGTGATTCGTTGAATATCTAATTTAGATTCAAGAAATAGCCACCTATCTGTCTTTGGTGAAGCAGCCTTTGTAATCTCTAGCCACTCAATCATAGAAAGTCATAATAACATTAGGAACCTTTTAGCTGAAAATTATGACATTCTGCAATAAAAAGACATAATATTGCTAGGCACCTTTTAGGCATATATTATAAATAATTACATAACAGTGGATAGGACATAGTTAACTTTGGTATTTTAACCACAATCTGATAAGATTATGCTGTCCTATGTTCGTTGGTGATAAAGAAGCCCAATTTTCACATGTGTTTTTTTCTCTACTACCCGAGTGCCAGTTCAGGTTGAGCATCCCATATCTGGAAATTAGGAATACTTCAAAATTGTCTATATGGGCAGCTAAGGGCCCTTCCACACAGTCATATAACCCAGAATATGAAGGCAAATAATTCACAATATTTGCTTTGAACTGGGTTATCTGAGTCCACACTGCCATTTATCACAATTCAGAGCAGATAATGTGGGATTTAATTCAGCTGTGTGGAAGGGGCCTTAGACAGTGACATCTTTGCTTTCTGATGGTTCAATGTACAGTTGTTTCATAAACAAAATTATTAAAATATTGTGCATACAATTACCTTCAGGATATATGCATAAGATAGATAGATAGATAGATAGATAGATAGATAGATAGATAGATAGATAGATAGATAGATAGATAGATAGATGGATGGATGGATATATATATATATGAATGAATTTTGTGTTTAAGTGTGGGTCCCATTTCAAAGATATATTATTATATATACACAAATTTTCCAAAAGCCCCCACACCTCCCAACCCCACCCCACCTAAATCTGAAATTCAAAACACCTTTGGTCCCAAGCATTTTGGATATGTCATATTCTTACCTGTATAACAAATATTGAAGTAAGGTCTGAAGTTGTCAAGACAAGTCAGAAACAAGAGATTTCCAAAAGCTCTAGTTTCAGTGTCCCAAAATGCTGAATGTTTTACAGGTGAGTATAATTTAGGAATCTTGAAAGGAAAGATGTGATCAGGGAGACAGTTTAATGCATCATTTATTTGCTTTATTCTTTCAGATAACCAGTCTCCTTCTATTGGATTTCTGTCAGTGGAATGTAAAAGACACTGCAATGCCAATACTTTCAGCACTGTGTTTGTCTGCTGCAGAAATGCTATAATTTATTTTTAAAGTCCATTTAAAAAAATCAGTGCATTCCCCAGGAAAAATGCTGAAGTTCCCACATTCAGATATTTCAAAATTTATGTTAATAGCTAACACATTGCTACAGTTTCCTTTTGTATAATCATTTGGGATTTTAAAATATGAGATTTTATCTCCCTTTTGATGTAGGGAAGGCATGATAGATCCATTAGTTTTCTGCTTCAATTGTGAATTACTGCAAGTTCCTTGTCTTTTATTCTTCTAAATTATTATCTTCTTACAAAATGTGGCTGGTTCTTGTCACTTGGTGAAGCACCAGCATTCTTTGGCAGAGAAGGCTAAAGACCTTGTAAAACGACAGCTCGCAAGATTCCATAGCATTAGGCTGTGGCAGTTAACATGGTGTCAAACTGCATTAAATCTGCAGTATAGATGCAACTTCAGTGTGGCCCGAACTAAGATCATGAACACCATGTCGACGTGGCTTAGAAAAAAATGGAAGCTAGTGAGAGCATTTAAATATTCTAGGTGTACGTGTATATATTTGTAGGGCATTTTAGTTCTGATTACACTAGGAAGGGAAAAGTTCTCACCTATTTATTTATTTATTTATTTATTTGCTGTATTTGTATACCACCTTTCTCAGCCAAATTGGTGACTCAAGGTGGTTTCCAACAAAACAGTACACATAATATCATAATACAGATTAAAACATTAAAAAGTATAAAACACAACAAAAGCAATAAAAATAACATCATTAGCTTCTCATTATTATCAAGCATTGTCCATTTCCATCGTCAAGTCATTTGATTTCCTATATGGGTTACTCTGTATTTGTAAATGCTTGCTCAAACAACCATGTTTTAACTTGCCTCTGAAACATTAATAGGGAGGCATTAGTACATACTTCACTTCTCGTACTTGTATTTTGACCTTGAGGTGCTGTTTTTGAGACAGAATACAAATGCTGTCTACAATATCATCCAGATTTGATTTCAGAAGCTCAGTGTGACCTTGCTGATTTTTGGAGGTGAAGCCATGAGGCATCTCTAGGGAGAACAAGGAAGGAATTTACACTGGTAGGGCAGATGGACCAATGATCTGACTTAATTGCTTCATCACATGGCTCAAAAGCATCTTAGGATGCTTAGAACTAGCTTTGGGGATAGAGTCCCATGACAGACATCAGTCAACATTACCTGTGGCTTCGCCCCCCCAATTGGGGTAAAAGTGTCACTAGACACTTTCCCTACAATACAGAAGGCTTCCCATGTTGTGTTGGCTCCAGTGTAGTGAGCACAGGGCCTCCATGTGAGGGTAATGTTTTCCCATGTGATAGCGAAAGCATTACAGAGAGGAAACTGTGCACAGATTCGCCCTGCTCCCTCTTTTCTCACCAGAAACCTAGCCTTTTTGAAAAGGTGTTTAGTACTGTCCACCCTCTCTGTCCGTGGATTCAACCTTCTGTAGCTTGAATTTAAAAAAATCCAAAAAACACACATTGATTTCCCCATTTTATATAATGGATTTCATTTTACTATGCAGTTATAAATAATGTAACTTGATCATGCATTTTAATATCAATTTGGGGGGGGGGGGAGCAGGCTGGAATCAATCCAAAGGCCCACATAGAAGAAATTTTCCAATGTTATTGTTGTTTCTTTAACTGTTTGAAGGCCTTTCAGTTACCTACCATGCAGGTGAAGTGTAAATACGGTTAACAATAAAGCTGCAAGTTTTAATTTATAAAATACTAGCTGTCCCCTGTCACATGTTGCTGTGGCCCACATGGGGATTCTGTGTGGGAGGTTTGGCCCAGTTCTATCGTTGGTGGGGTTCAGAATGCTCTGTGATTGTAGGTGAACTATAAATTCCAGCAACTACAACTCCCAAATGTCAAGATTCTATTTCCCCCAAACTCCACCAGTGTTCACATTTGAACATATTGAGTATTCATGTAGAGTTTGGTCCAGATACATCAGTGTTTGAGTCCACAGTGATCTCTGGATGTAGGTGAACTACAATTCCAAAACCAAAGGACACTGCCCACCAAACCCTTCCAGTATTTTCTGTTGGTCATGGGAGAACTGGGTGCCAAGTTTGGTTGAATTCCATCGTTGGTGGGGTTCATAATGCTCTTTGATTGTCGGTGAACTATGAATCCCAGCAACTACAACTCCCAAATGACAAAATCAATTTTTTTGAGTGAAGGACATACATTGGGTTGTTAGGTGTATCATGTCCAAATTTGGTGTCAATTCCCCCAGTGGTTTTTGAGTTCTGTTAAACCCACAAATGAACATTACATTTTTATTTATATAAATTTAATTTAATAGTGGCTTGTCAGATGCAGTATTTGGAAAAGTGACTTTTGAATAATTTCCAGAATTCCTCAATAGCACAACCACTGGCCATTCTGGTTGGGGATTCTGAGAGCTTTAGGGGAAAAAAATAACATCCATGTTCTGGTTATGTCTTTATATATTAGCCATGCATGCCCTCTCTGCTTTGAATAAGTTTATCCTGAAATTCCAGCATAATCCAGTGCCTAGGTAAGCTTAGAGCACCTGTCACTTGCAAATGTAAATAGTTAAATTAGACTTTAGAATTATCAGAGTAGAACAAAGTTTGATGCGGCACATGAAACCTGTGATCAAAGAGCAGATTTCTGATTCCCTAATTTGCTCTTCCTTGCACAGGCACTGTGGGTGTTTTATGGTGGTATGGAAGGCTTCACAGAAGAGGGGTGAGGAAGAAATTCCTGTTGCGAAAAGCAGACTGCTGTTAATGCGGCAGTGATTTAGGCAATTGATATAGATGGAAATGTTCTTTCACCATGCTGGGCTTGCTCTTTCATATTCATATATGATTCTGTCAGTGACAACCTGAGATGCATACAGATCTCTTGGGTACCATAGGATCGTCAATGTTTACTTATGCTTGTTAGATCTTTTTTGGAACATCATTTATTTTGTTAGGTTTGTGATAGCTTCACTTGATATGGGATGCAGATGTTGTTCAAAATGCTAAATAGTCTGAATAGAAAATTATATCGAAAACAAGGATTATTTAATGAAACGGCACTGTACTTAGTTTTCTTTGGAACTCCTAAAAGGCTGAGGGAAGAGACCATAAACATTATATGATGTGTTTTAATTGATTTTCCTTGTAATTTGCTGTGGAAAGCTGCCATTAAGTTTTGTTTTAAAGATGCAAGACATATTGTACTAATGTCTTGAGACAATAAACCCAAGACGTTAAATGTACTAATAAGGAGCTGATGTCTCTCATGTGAGTGCAGAGAAGATAATTGTGGCAGAGTTAAACCAAGGTGGAAGAAATGTGTTTTGTTCAGAGACAGGCTAATGTTCTTCAGCATCAATTCAGAAAACATAATTCAATATAGCATGTTTTGTTTTTGTTCTGTGTGCTCATTGCTTGATAAAATGCTCAGTATTCTTCTCTGAAGTTGCAATCCTCTGAACATTTGATAGATAGGATTTTTGGATCACCTCTGCATAGGAAAGTTTTTTGACCTCAGAGGAGAAGAATTGTCCAGGGCCATGGCAGAAGAGATTAGATTCATAGAATCACTAGGCTTCCAACAACCACCCTCACCTCAAACAATATATCAGTCCCAAAGGTATGATGCAGAACAATAGCACACAGTTTCTGAGAATCTGGGAACACTTTTATTTCCCTGCAACAAGCTAAGCTGATCAGAAAGCTAAGCTATTTCAAATGGAAGCTATGCTCAGTCACCCATTGCTGTTTCGGACACTGGAACAACTAACTTTTTTTAAAAAAAATGTTTGGAAGAGATATCATCAATGGGCTATACCAGAGTTCTAGAGCCCTAAAAACTGTCCAAGGACCTTGGTTGCAACCAAGCTTAGAGCACCTCTGCTCTAAGATCTGCCGGGAAGGCCCTCCTCATGCTTCCACCACCGTCACAATCATGGCTAGTGGGGATGAGGGAGAAGGCTTTCTCAGTGGTGGCCCCCTGACTTTGGAACACCCTCCGCAGGGAGAAAAGGTACATCCCCATATTGTCCTCCTTTCATAGGGAACTGAAGAATGGCTTTCTTTTTGGCATTGAATGTTTACCATAATTGTTGGAAACTGCCCTGAGTCCCTTTGGGGGAGATAGGGTGGTCTGTAAATAAAGTTGTTGTTGTTGTTGTTGTTGTTGTTGAAGTAGGACAAAACTGGTAAACTGAGAAATTGGAGGACCTCCCTGGTATCAAAATAAGCATGACAGAAAGTTCAGTTTATATCAAACATACTGATAGGTTAAAATACATCTGTATAGGCACATCTACTTGTGATCTAGTTGTTGCCTTCATGGGTCATGGGGGAACTCAACTGAATGGAGCTAAAAGACAAACCCCATCTCTCTCTCTCTCTGCTCAATATAGATGCAAGCAAGGAAGAGTTCAGAATATTTTATTTCCTTTCATGACAATTTGGGTTATTCATATTCAACAATCTATGGTTTCTCTGAATTGTGGTTTATGTAAAGTAAGATAATTTACAATGATTTGTGGCCATGGCTTGTTTAAAATAACAGGATTAAACACAGTTTATATTTTGTGTGGTGTGTGAAACTATAGCTAACTTGCCATGGTATATTTTTGTGGTTATGCCAGAAGAGAAGTAAGTGTTCTTCATCTCAAAGTAAACTATAGTTTTTCATATGTTAGTAGCTTCTGCTATCACTTCTTGTTTCTTCCTAATTTATGAAATACATATGTGACTGGCTTTGGATAATTGTCCATTTGTTATTTCGACAACAATCCATGATTTGTCTTTTCTTTCCCCCATGCCTAGATGCTTTTGTCGGAGGGGTCATTGGGCTCGTATTTGCCTACATTTGTTACAGACAGCACTACCCTCCACTGGGTACCCTGGCTTGTCACAAGCCTTACGTCAGCCTGATAATTCAGACATCACTGAAGAAAGAAGAGATCCCTACAACAGATAATGCCACCAGCCTGCCGCTAGAAGGGATAACAGAAGGTCCAGTATGACTAATACACATGCAGGATGAACTATTAGCCTTTTCATACATTCCGCCAATCCAAACTGGTTTCTCTTCATAATTAATGTCTCTTTAAAAGCTGTGATTCTGCCATACTCTCTTTCCTTTCACAGAACGTTTTTTGCACTCATATTTTTAAACTTTTGTTCTTAGATTCCCCCTCCCTCCTTTTTCATACAAACCTTACATGAATAAACTCACAGAAAGAATGTTTCTAACAAACACAAATATTACTTACGGGGGGTAAAGACTGAGGTCAAACTATTGAGATGCCATTAACTACTACTAATATCTATATAGCACTTTTAATGTGTTACAAATCCATAGCTCATTCATACTTGCAACAACCCTGCAAGGTCAGTCACTATTATTCCCATTTTATAGATGGGTGGCAGAGGCTGGAAGAGAATGACTTGTCTAAGAGCACCCAGGAACCTGAAACTGAGCAAGAATATGGGCATGGACCAGGACCAATTTTTACTCCTATGGACCAGATGGACTACAAAGAGGATGTAAATGTCTTCTGCTAAGAAATGATAAGCATTCTGAACTGAAATTGACTCTGTTCCTGCCATCCCTGAAGACCTTCATGTATAAAAAGACTTTATTTCCTTTTGTATCTCATCAGTTGGTATGCAATTACAACAACCTTCTGTTTATCTGCTGGTTGTGTGAATGTTTTGTTGTGTGCTGCCCATCATGTTTGACAGGGTTATTCGGAGATAGCTGAAATGAAATAATGGTTTTAGATATACAAAAGCTTGAGAGCTGGGGAATGCCAAGATTACAGGCATAAGTCATTGCTGAAAAAGGCGTTGACAGCACGCTTATGCAAAGCTGTTGAAGCTGTCAGCTGGCAATAACATATATTGGAAGGATCACTTGGACTTGTGTATTAACAAGTTAGTGTGTATGTTTTTTTCTTTCCTTGAAAGCTTTGTAGTAATTTACTTTGAAGCTGAGCCACTGGTTTAGAAACAGTCATCTCCAATCCTTTTAAAAAATAACACTTGGCCCAAAATATCCAGAAGCGTGAAGATGAAAAAGAACCCTTTTGTGTATGTGTGTACAAGAGCTACCACCATACCTGTATAATAGTTTCTCTTGATGTGCTAAAGTATTGGCAATCCCATTTTGCTTGTCTCTCCTCCCTCACAGCACTATATTAACTTAGCCATTTTTCTTGTTTCAATTTTTGTCTGCAGTGTTGAATCTAAGCATCCCAACTGTATTGCAGGGAAATTACAACACATGTGAATATGAGGGGAAATAGGTGGTAGCATATTTGCTAACAACTATGGAAATGCTTTGTGAAACCAGGGAAAACTCCCAGAAGACCATGCTGTAGACTCTGTAGAAATATACCACTTATGTACACCTTTGGGCACTTCAGTAGTCAAATGTTGTAATTCCATCTTCTTCTAAGAAGAAAAGAGTGGACAAAAATCAATACATTTCCTTGGAAATAAAGTAGGGAGGATTGCATCTTGTATTCATGAACCTGCAATGATACATTGCCAGAAGTCATCAGCTGCTACCCTCTGAGGTGCATATTATGGTGAATTCTTCTCAGAGTTCAAAAAAGTTACTGTTTTAGAATATAATCTCTAGAACCTCTCACCCATTATGACCACTGGCTGTGTTGGATGGGGAATTTGGGGAGTTGTAACCCTGTGCCCCCCCCCCCTCCGGTTTCTACATTATTCTTATCCCAGACCTGTTATCTGAATGCAAGATCCTGGTCTTGGGAACTACCTTGTGTTGTGTCCCCTGCATGCAACCCAGCCTGTGGTGCATGGGCGGAAGTCTTTGTCACCCTTGCCAGGATTGGAAAAACCATGCATGGTATACCCATGTTAGTTATCTTTATTTTTGACAGTGCCACCATTAGGTTTTTCTGCGTTATCCTGCAGTGGAAATGTGAAAAGAAGAAAGCATATCCTGTTTTTCCTTTTACAAAATGACATGAAAATAATATCATCAAAGATGTTCTATATAATAATCTATTTGTGAGCTTCTTCTTTTTGGCTTGACAAGACTAATGGAGGCAGCTTTGATCAGTGCTATCCATTATGGTGCTTTACACTGGAAGAGTTTGCTGCTCTGGCTATTCATATGTCTAATATGTGCCTGGTGGCCTATGCATCAGCTGTTCTGTGATCAAGTTTTATGTCTCTCTGAAAATGGGGCATATTTTTTTTGTCTGGGAGTGGGGTGGCGGGTATATTTTTATTCCTAACTGATAACTGTGATATTTTGGTAGAAGGAAAAGTAGACAAACTTTTTGCAAATTGAATCTATTCCAGAAAATAAACATGAATAGTTTGATAGACATTATTGAAATAGTCTTATAGAATTTAATGAGGAAGAAATCTTGGTAATCCAAAAAATATTCCTTAGGAAAAGATACTTGGGTGGATGAAATATGGTGGAGGGGAGTGGTATGAATGGATACAGTGCCAACATAATATCAGAATTTGCCTTTATTTAATAAATATGCAATACCTGAAGCTGCATAAACTTTTGTGAGCTTAGAAAATTATAGAGTAATTGTTCTCAGTGATGAGATAACTTCCGCAGTTTTTGAATCCCTCCTGTTACTGTTATTACTACTGAGATGATATATTTTAAAGAAAATCTTACAGGACAAATTCTGTTTGAGAGGTGCTCTGCTTTTTAGAAAAAAATCAAGTATCTGTCTGTGCGTTAAGTTTGTCATCACAAACTTAAGATGATGTGCTAACTAACATTGGAGGATTGTAAGAATGTCCTTGCTGTAGTTAGTCTCTGTTGATTATCAGTGGAATGCCAAAAGTATTTGACGTGGGCAAGAATGGATCATGAATTGAGCAAGGGAGGTGCTTCACCATAGCGGAGTTACGTTCTTTCCAGAGTGATTCATGAGCCGACCATATTTATCTCCCCCTATTCTCCCTTAAGAATAAGCTATTGTTAGACGTGTTGGCTTAAAATCTGTCTCAGAAGTTTAGCCTCTCCTTTGCCTTTATGTATCCTGATGAGTTGAATTCATCAAGGGTGGAATTATACTGCAAAAGTGTCCCTTTCCCTTAGATTAATACCATCAGCTGAGAATATTATGTGGATCCTACTACATGCGTCCCACTTAAGTTAGAATTTATTTAGAAATTGAACCTGAAACTGTGTCTTTAACAAGGGCTTGCTGAAGAAACTTTCAACTTTGATTACTTGGAGGTTGGTTGCTACCAAATGATTTAATCCATGTCCAAAATTGTAATGGTAGCTTGTTTACATGAACGAACTCCACTCATTTCCACTTCAGAAGCCAGAAATAAGTTTCCTATGGTAAGCTGTTTGAGCACCATTATTCATTATGTAGAGAGTATCTGATTTCTGCTGTGTCCACTTGAATTCTTTTGTGTGTCTTGCAATGCCATGCAAAATGGTTATAAGGGTAGGGACAATGCCACCAAGCCCCATCCACATATTGATTTGATTGTAGACACTTTGCTGTTCGCATTCAGACTCAAGCTCAGTTCACATAATGGTGTGGGATATAATTAATCATTATTAATGACTGACTGTCCCATAAGAACATTCTCTCTTGTTTGGAAAAAGCTTCTTTCCTTGTTTCCTAATCACAGCTTGAAGATGGAAGGCTAAAATCAATAGTTAGATTCTATTAGAACAGAGAGAGCTATCGTTCTGAAATGGTTTGAGAATTGGGCTCCGATACTAGAGACCAGGGTTTGAATCTACTCAGCCATGGAAACTCACTAGTTAATCTTGGGCAAGTCACACGTTTTCAGGCTGTGAGAAGGGCAAGTTAATTCCCTTCTGAACAAATCTTAACACAAAAAAATAATATGTGATAGGTTTACCTTGGGATCACCATAAGTAACACAAGTTTTTGAGAGCCAACATTGTGTAGTGAGGAACATCGGACTATAGGTTGGAAACCAGGGGTTGAGCCCCTGGTTTCCAGAGTTGTTCCTGGAAAACCACTGGGCAACCTTGAGCAAATCACATCTTCTCAGCCCCAGAGGAAAAAATCTTGCCAAGAAAACCCCATGATAGGATCACTTTAGTTACCATAAGTGAGAAACAACGTGAAGGCGCACAACAAGAATTAGAGCACATTGAAAAAATACTTAGTTTTAATCTATTTGAAGACACTTTGGGTCCCAAATCAGAAGAAAGAGATATAAATTAAATAAATAATTATTAAACGGGGGGAGATTATGCAACTGGGAGACAGTTATGGAGATGTACCTATGATACCTTGTGACGTTACCTCCAAAATCCTATCTTTGAAGTTTCATGGTCCCTCCACCCCCCCCCCCCAAAAGATGCTTGAGGGCAGAGGAATAATTCATGATGTATCCAGTCCTCTCCTGTCTATGGGAAATATTACAGACAGCAGGGTCCACTTGGGATCCTGTAGCAACTGGGTGTCTCAGCATACCCTGTAACAAGAAGATGGTTGGACACAACTTTGCCTCAGTGCTCTCTGGAGTGTCAGAAATGGCTGTGTTGAGGCAGAGCTATGAGATGTGTAAGGTAGGATTTGAGGAGCAATATTGGTCACTGCATTTGTGTAACAGCTATAAACATGAATTGGAATAATTGCGATGTCATTAAGCCAGGCTTATGGCATTGTAATTACTGAACAGGATTTACATATATGAAATCTCACCATTCAGTGAGACCCAATATATATATTTCACCCTTTCCCTTGATACAGTTCAAAGCCAGCTATGAAATGGGTTCCCACATAATAATTTTCCAGAATAAAGTATTATCCAATGCCACAAAAATATGTTGAGTGCTCAATAAATGGTTGGAAGGGATGTTAGCAGTACAGTAAAAAAGAATGAAGTGCTTTTAACTGAGGCGATTATACTGGGAGTAATAAAGTAAACCATGTAAAAGTGTTTATTTTAATGTAATTAAACCTTACAGAGGATGTAATGATGTAAAATCTAAGCAGGAATCCAGAGAAGTTGCAATTACAGGGTGAACTGGTGAAGAAAAAGCATCTTTCTGGATCAGTGTCTTTTTACTTTTATGTTCTTATGTGAAGGAAATGTAAATGCTGTAATGCACCAATAAAATGGACATGAATGTGGGATTTTGAATATCCCAATGTTGCAATTTTTATTTCAGTGGCAAATAATTTTGTGTATTATTGAGTTTTGGATGCTAACAATGCAACCAGTAGCTACTATAAAACATATCTGATACTTTCAAAAGGGAAGAACTTTCTGAGCTGTACACACACACACACACACACACACAGATTTCATAAATAATCTCACGTATCCAGGCTTTTACACAATTTCTCTATCCAATTTTCTAGTCATATCTTTAGCTTCATTCATCTCTATATATTCTACCAGCAGAAACTATTAGTAACTGTTGTCCTGTGATGCGTGGATGCTTCTGCACATCATAAAATTTTCTGATTTAACGGAGATGGCATAATGTGATATTTCATTCGCAAAAACAGCCAGTGGCCCATTTTGAAAGCCTGATAAGTTCAGGAAATAGACATCCAGGTGGCTTAAGAGTTTTAGCTCAAAATGAAAAGAAGGCCAATAGACTTTAATCCAATTTTCGTTTATCTCCTTGATAACAGATACATTTAAGCTCTGGGCATCTGTGTCGCTGGCAGTAAAATAAGTTAGGGTTCCATTCACAGCTTGTTTTTGTTAATAACACAAGATGCTAGTCTTGGCGTATTTCCTTTTAACTCTTTTGCTGATAACTTTGTGGAGGCAATCACCTGTAAAAAAAATCTCCTATGTGTCTTTTGCTTTGGAAATACATTTACTCACAACTCAATGGAACCTTTATGCATGCAAGTAGCTTAGTTACAGGATAGGCAGCATGGTGTAGTGGTTTCAGTGCTGGACTATAACCCCAGAAGATGAGAGTTTGAATCCCTGCAGCCATGGAAAACCACTGGACGACTTTGGGCAAATCAAACTAGACGAAGGCAATGCAGTTTCCTCTGTATAAATCTTGCCAAGAAAACACTATCAAGCTGACATAAAGGTACACAACCAAAACAAAATATTAGCTATGGTTATTATTTATACAAGAGAGCACCTATTATTTTTAGATCATTCAAGACTGACTTTCTTTCTTTTTCCTGCTCTTAGAATGGCAGAAAGAGCCAAGTAAATGGCTGAGACAGTAAATGAAAGATTTGGAGGAATGGGTAAGCAGATGGGATGAAGGAAATTAGATGCTGACATGGATTGGGACACGCTCACATGAAGGTGGATAGAGTTAAAAATAAAATGAAATCATTCCAAAGTTCGAGTTGAAAACGAGATTATTTCTGGGTGAATTGATTTTGAGCTGCAAGAGAGCGTACCATCACTAAAACCAGCATGAATCCAAGATACTCTGAAGAATGACCCTACACTTGGAACATGACCTTACACTCACATGGACTGGATTGACATTCCTCAAAATTCAGTATCTATTCTGTCCATGCTTTGAATTGTTTGTGTGTATTTACTAGTTTTGGCAGGAACTGCGGTGGCACAAGGGTTAAACGTCTCAACTGCCGACTAGAAGACCTGAATGCCTGTGGTTCGAATCCGCGGGATGGGGTGAGCTCCCATCTGTCAGTCCCAGCTTCCTATGCAGGAACATGAGAGAAGCCTCCCACAGGATGGGAACACATACAGGTGTCCCCTGGGCTACGTCCTTGCAGATGGCCAATTCTCTCACACCAGAAGCAACTTGCAGTATATTCTCAATTGGCTTCTGACACAATAAAAAAACCCCCATAGTTTTGGCCATTCTAGGTCCATTATGATACTTCAATCCCACGGATATGGCATAGAGTGATTTGCAGATTACAAATGAAGGCTGGAAACAGAAAAGAATAGATTTATGTCTGCCACATAGCTTTATCTGTTGAGCTTACTCTCCCAGTGCTACCTCAATCCACTACTTAAATGTACCAACTTAACATGTCAATTTCTGTGCTGTTGGAGAGAAAATTAGGCAAGATGTAGCTAGCTACTTTCTGATAACTGGACACATCCCTAGATATCCTTGGCAGTTCTCATTGTTCCTGCAGGTGACATCTTTCCAATATGCAATGCAATTCACCAAAAGGATATCAGCCAAAATAGAATATTTTCATCATTTTGGGTTATGTTCAGCTGGCAAAAATCTCTTCGGTCATATACTGATTTGATATCATATGCATATAATTTGAAAGAGTCTCTTTTTTTGGACTAAACTTTACAAAAATCCCCCAGCCAGCATGACCACAGGCTGGGAGATCCTAGAAGAACATCTTGGAGTGCCTGTGAACAACAAGTTAAACATGAGCCAACAATGTGATGTGGCGGCAGAAAAAGTGAACATGATTTTGGCCTGCATCAATAGGAGTATAGTGTCTAGATCCAGGGAAGTCATGCTACCCCTCTATTCTGCCTTGGTCAGTCCACACCTGATTACTATGTCGAATTCTGGGCACCGCAGTTGAAGGGAGATGTTGAGAAGCTGGAATGTGTCCAGAGGAGGGTGACTAAAATGATCAAGGGTCTGGAGAACAAGTCCTATGAGGAGCAGTTTAAAGAGCTGGTCATGTTTAGCCTGAAGAAGAAAAGGCTGAGAGGTGATATAGGGAGGAGGGAACTTGTTTTTTGCTGCCCTGGAGACTAGGACGCAGAGCAGTGACTTCAATCTACAGGAAAAGAGATTCCACCTGAACGTTAGGAAGAACTTCCTGACTGTGAGAGCTGTTCAGCAGTGGAACTCTCTGCTCTGAAGTGTGGTGGAGGCTCCTTCTTTGGAGGCTTTTAAACAGAGGCTGGATGGCTATCTGTTGGGTGCTTTGAATTCAATTTTCCTGCTTCTTGGCAGGGGGTTGGACTGGATGGCCCTCGAGGTCTCTTCCAACTCTATGATTCTATGATTCTAAGTTATCATTCCAGAAAAGAGGGAAATTTGCACACTTATTTTTGATTAGTAATTTCCTCCCTATAGCCTGACTTTACATCCACAAAATTGGTTCCAATTGATTGTGCAATTCATTATATATCACCTTCCTATAGACTTTAAAAGTGTCTAGTTGTTGATTGAAACAGTTTTTTTTTGTAGAGGTAAATGTGAAGAAGATCAAATGCAACAATATGAGAGAAGACCTGAAAAAATTGACCCAGAAGACCCTATGAGGAGGGGAATAAAAAAGGGAAAGACTCTGAAGAGGCAATAGTAACATAGACAGCTGGAGTCACTGCCAGAGGGGAATACAAATCCCCAGAGGATGCATCTTTGAAGAATTAAGAAATAAATATAGCAGTATAAAGAGGAGCTTTGTGACCCACTTAATGCTCAATTATAAGTGTCACTTTGGAATTATGTTTTGAGCTTTATCAATAGAATTTAAAGTGATCTGGAAAGGAAAGTCAATGTTTTGATTTGTTAATACATGATTTGAAAGTATAAAATTGGGCAGAATTTGACAGCACTGTCCTATGTTTACTCAGAGGATAGTCACAGTAAATTCATTAAATATTTAACAGGGCTTCCTTTCCTATGTGAGTGCCATGAACACTTATACATACCTGATTGATGCCATAAAAATATATGTGCCTAATTGATGATTTTATTTATTTATTTATTTAATGGCATTTCTACCCCACCTTTCTCTATTCCGGAGGGGACTCAAGGTGGCTTACAGTTAGGCAAACTTATGAAGCCATCGAATATGTGCAATTACAAATATATAAATAGAGTTATAAAATACATTAAAACAGTTTAAAATCATAAAACAATACATTTGCAGTTAATCACATGATCCTTCAACGTAGTCCGGCTGTTCCAGTTAGTCAATGCACATCAATTCCATATCTTTCTAGTTCTCAAGTTCTCCAAACACTTGGTCACAAACCAGGTTTTTACTTTCTTATGGAAGGTCAGGAGGTAAGGGGCTGATCTAATGTCCCTGGGTAGGGAATTCCACAGCTGAGGGACCACCACTGAGTAGGCCCTGTCTCCTGTCCTTGCCAATCGCGCCTGTGAGGAAGACAGAACCGAGAGCAGGGCCTCCCCTGATGATCTTAGACTCTGAGATTGTTCATAGGAGGAGATGCATTCTTCATTTGTCAAGCTCGTCTTTATATCTATGTACTTTAATCATTCCTCGTACCACAAGAATTTTCAAAAATGCAAAAAAATGTCAAGGATAATGGGGGCAGGGGGGGAAATGGCTTTCATTAAGATTAGTGATGTGAGGATGCAATCTGTTAAATGACCACACATGTAGCAGCTTTCTATTAAGATAAAAGAACTAGAAAGTTGGAGGCTGAACATAATGAATTAGAGCTTCCTGGGAGCGGGGGAGATTGCAACATTTCATTGGGAATTTCACTTGTCAGCTAGTAAATTGGAACCTCATTTTGACTGCTGAATGTCAAAACAAGAAACATCTTCCATGGTAGAACATTTTCTGAAGGAAGATGAGGAGAAGATACTCAGTCTCTTTAGCAATAACTGGAAGCATCTTCCATTCCACCTCCAAGGTAGACAACATCTCTTCAGAGATAACTTCTTAGAAGTCTAAAAGGTACATGGAGGCCCCTTCTACACTGCCATATAAAATCCAGATTCTCAGCTTTGAACTGGATTATATGGCAGTTTTATTTTCTGTGCCAGAAGCTACTTGAAAAGCTGCAAGTGACTTCCGGTGTGAGAGAATTGGCCGTCTGCAAGGATGTTGCCCAGGGGACACTCGGATGTTTGATGTTTTACCATCCTTGTGGAAGATAAATAATATTTTATTAAACAATTCTCATGTGCTCTCATGGGGAGCTGGAGGTGGCCAAAAGAGCTCAACCCGCTCTCCTGGGATTCGAACCACTGACCTTTCAGTCAGCTGTCCTACTGGCACAAGAGTTTAACTCATTATGCTACTGGGGGCTCCATATGGCAGTGTAGATTTAGATAATTCAGTTCAAAGTAGATAATGTGGATTATGTGCTTTGATAATCTGGATTATATGGCAATGTAGAAGGGCCCAGAGTCAGCTCTTTAGAAGAGGCAAGATGATAGCTCAAATGAGCTTCCGTCTTCCTAAACATAGCTGTAGAAAATGATCTACGAAAGCCAATATTGTGGATCCA